TCCTGAAAAATGCAATTAAATGCCACCTAACTGTGCGCTGGATGGAAATTTGACCAACAGTTTTGTTGGGCATTCGCTCAAGTTTAAAGGAAGATATCGATTGTACACCAGTTGAAATGGTGTATGGTTGTTCTATACGCTTTCCAGGTGAATTTTTTCAGAACTCTTTTTCTAAAACTGTAACATCTCACTCTAATTTTTTACAGAAACTTCGTGAAAAAATTAGAGATTTTACGCCCTGTTCCTCTGAATACTCGTGGTGTCACTCGTCCAATCTTCATCAGTAAAGATCTGTAGACTTGTAGCCACGTTTTTGTCAGAATAGACAGTGTCCGACGACCTTTGGAACAGCCCTATAAAGGCCCATTTAAAGTAATTTCACGAACTAAAAAATGTTTTTGTTTTAGATCTTGAAGGACAGAAAGCTAGTGCTTTTATAGACAGATTAAAACCAGCCTATTTTTTATCTGATGAAGTTGCAGACTCTACCAAACAGTCTCCCATGGTAAAGCCAGAAGTAACTACTAGGTCTGGAAGGAAAGTTAGATTTGTCTTGATTAGATTGTTAGATTATTCCAAGCATTTTTGTTATTCCGCACTTTTCCCAGCATATATAACTCTGTGAAATCACAAAGTATTTACTACAACTCAGTGTTATACACTTTTGTATTTTAATTTATTTTAAGTTTGTCACTCAGTTTTGTGACTGTACTTTTTCCGGAAAATAAATCGTTTATTTTTATCCTCTGATTTTTAATCATATTTTCTTTGGTTCCCTCAAATATGAGAACGTTATACCAGTTCTTACAAAGACGATGTTAGTTTCGTGATGTTATATGACGACGAAGAGCGAATTGAATCAAAGCTCCCGGTTTCGTGCGAGGATCACCGTTGAAATTCTCGATGGTTGATATATAGAATGCTATGCATAGTTTCTTTATGCGCCATTTTTGTCTTAGGGATTTTACGTTTATTGAAGATTATTTTCAGCCTGACTTGCGTTATTTTGCTACCATTGTGCATTCTATTTCGTCAGGATTTAACGTTTTTGGTAAATTATTTTCAGTGAGACTTTTGTTGCTTAGCGATTGTTTAATTGAGCAATATTTCGTCACTTTTATTTCTTTTTAGTCTGTCGGGATTTAGCGATTCTTGTCAATTATTTTTAGCAGACCTACTGTTACTTTGCGATCGCTGCGCAATAGCTGAAATTTTGAATTTTCGTTCTGAACTCAATCTATTAATGAAAAGAAAATATGAATAAACAAAAGATTCTTCATTGACTTTTTTTAATTATTGTTTTTCATTTTAAACCATATCATTTAATAGGAGTTTTCTGTATTTAACTTTGTTATAAAAAGTTAGATTTTTAAAAAAAAAATTATTCATTGCACGTAAATATAATAATTTGATAGAATTTGATTATTTTTAAACCAATAAATCTTCAGTCATTTTTAATTATAAAAAAAATTAAAACAACGCCTACATTTATTTAATTTGCTTTTATTTTTGAGAAAATGAAAACAAAGTTCGCGTTACTTTTTTTTTTAATTTGGCTATTAGTTAAGACAATTTTTTTTTTAACTAAATAAAAAGTTAAGCAATGATTTGACGTTTTTTAGTACTTAAAGTATTCTTATTTTTCCTTTTTTTAATTTTTCCTAAAATTCTTTCAATACTTGTTTGTTTCATAATTTGTCAGATAGTATCATTTTTAAACAAATAAATCTTTAGTTGCTTTTATTTTCAAAAAGGAAAATAATAATAAATAATTAAAAAACTTGAATTTATTTTGACATTTATTAAGCATAGATTTTGACCATTAGCTAATACAACTTTATTATTTTAAATAAAAGAAAGTCTAATGATGTTTCAAATACACTGCTTTTTTTTTCAACAAATAATTTAAAAAACGTTTTACTACAGTGAAAATTTCTTTGGTTTGTTTTTTACTTTCATTTCTTTTCTTTTAATTATTAATAGATGTAAGTAAAATATTTTGTTACGGTTCTATTATTATTTTCAAACCAATAAATCTTAAGTCATTTTTAATTTATAAAAAATTAAAATAAAGCTTGGTTTTGTTTTTACTTAGATATCTTTATTATTTAAATTGAAAAAATTAAGCAATACTATTTGCTGTTATTGAAGCATCTTTTTAGATTTAACATTTTCTGTGTTAATAGATTTATTCCTTTTATTTATTTTTGATGGTTTTAAAGATTTCTGATAGATAATTTTTGAATATATTATAATTCGCGATACATCGCTACATAGCGATATCTAACAGACGATGTATCACGATATAACATTTCTTACTTCGCCCACTGCTATTCAATGCATGTATGTATAATAATTTGATAAAATTTTATTATTTTTAAACCAATAAATCTTAAGTCGTTTTTATTTTTAAAAATTAAAACGTAGTTACAATTATTTTTTTACATTCGACCAACTTTATTATCAATCCAACTTTATTATTTTAAATAAAATAAAATTAAAATTTTTGAAAGCCACTCTTTTTTCTTCTTTTTGTTTTTTTACTCGTTTAATACTTAATTTGAGTGAATTTTTATAGTTTTTCTAGTCATTTTTTCTTACTTTTTAAGAATTTCTCAATACATATTAATTACTTGTTTTTTCCCCCTTCTTCTATCATTATTTTTATATTTTTAATACTGCAGATATTAAGCTGTTTTTATTTTTGAAAAAATTAAAACAAAGTTGCTTTAACTTCTTTAAGAAATCGGCTGTTAGTTAAAACTAATGATTTTTTTTAAATTAAATCAAAAATTAAATGATGTTTTCACTATTTAAAAGTAGTGTATTTTTAACAGTTTAAGTATAAAGCTATTAATTTTGTTAAAGAGATTAATTTAAAAAATAACGTCTAGCGATGGTTCAAAAGTACGCTTTTTTTTCCTTCAAAATAATTCAAAACTTTCTTTTACTTAACCTTTTCATAAAGGTTTTCGTACGGAGGGATAAAATTAAAAAGAGATAGGTAAAGTTTTTATAATGTCTTATTTTTGCTTTCATTTTAATTCTAACATATCTTATCCAAGCCACTTCAAAGTGTAACTAAATAAATTTTATTTTGAATTAAGTAGTGATACATTAAGTAAATCAAACTCTCCAAATAAACTGCTACCGAAATAGTTTTATTTATTGTATCCTGGTTGTAGCCACCCCGAGAATGCATATATGATTCGTCCGACTCGATTACTTTTGTTTGTCCCATCTTTTATTTATTTTTGAAAAATTTCTTACAATGCATGTAAGTAAGATATTTTGACAGAACTATTAAATATTAAGTCTTATTAATTGAAAAAAATTAAAACAAAGTTTACGTTTGTTTTTACATATAAAATTTAGTCTTAAGAAAGCCATCTTTATAATTTTAATTAAAAAATTAAATAATGTTACTGATGTTATGAAAAAGCATTATTTTTTAAAATTAACAAATTTTTTGTTTGTTTTAGATTTATTTAAGATTTACTTTTGATTCAGTAGATTTGCTTCAAAATAAACAATGTGCATGATTCTTTAAAAAATTTCTAATGTTAATTATAGATCAATGAAAAAATACTAATAAAGTTTTCATATATATTTTTATTTTTCTTAATCGTACAACTATATAATAAATCTAATAGTAATATTATATATAATGTATCAACTAACAATATTTTTTCAGGAGGAAAATTTTTGTGTTAAATTAAAAATATTATTAAAAATTATGAAATTTTTTATTTTTATAAATTTTTTTTTAAAAAATCACTCGTTAATAAAGCATTATCACAACACATTGGAATTATGGAACTGCTTAAGAACCCTAAAATGTTTGTAATCCTTGTGCATTAGATATTTTTTAAATTTATAATTTCATTTAAATAAATATTTAATTACTTTAAATTCGGGCTTAATTCGCTCAAATCAAATTGGACGTAAATTTATATAATTATTAAAGTGATTTTTTTTCTTGACGCTTATTTTCATAAGTTTTTTTTTTTCGGTGTTCTTTCTTTAGAGCTTTTTTCAGTATTTTTTTCCCCCAATGATCTTTTTTTCCTTTTGCTGTAGTGTAAATGATGTGTGAAGGGTGTTGTTCACTGAAGGGTGTATTTTCAGTGTGTTATGTGTGATGTGCAATGTCACTGAATTTGACTATTTTCTTAGCTGATGATTACTCAGTTTAGTAGTAAATAGCTTCAGTAAAACACGAAGACCTATAAAAGGATAGATATTCAGCGTATTTTTAATCCTTAATTGTTTTATTGAATATATCGGATATCCGTAACTTTTTTAAGTATATATATCAGTGTAATGAGGCACCTCTAAATTAAAAATATATAAATCTATAGATAAGATAATTTTTCTATTCATTTCTGAAAAGGGATCAAGCAGTAAGGAGTAGATATAATAATAGCAATAATAAAAGAAGGTCAAAGCCCTTTGTAATAAATTGTAATTTTAACAACATTCAAACATTTGGCGCCATGGATATCCCTTTTTCTAAGCGACGAAAACTTTTTTGATAAACTATTGGGAATAAATTATGTATTCTCAGATTTATTATATGATTTAAACACTTGTATTTATATTATCACATTAAAATCGTCCACAAATAAGAATAAAACAAAGCATTTAATACATAATTATATTTTAAATGAAAATCAAAAGTTGTTAATGATCCCATTTTTGTCTTATAACTAGAAAATATTCTTAAAAATACGTTTTAAAAATTAAGAAAATTAGTTTTATTGCTTGAAAATGTTCTTTTATTAAATAACATTTTTGTGCACATTGCTAAGAATATAAACTTCAATTAAAAGCATGCACAGAGTACGACATGAACATGGAATATAGAGGAATTTACATCGAATGACAGCTTCAACCTCTTAATAATCCCATACTAAGAGGATCTTTTTCAATTGAAAGAATCTTTAAATAAAAGTTTATCGAAAAAAGCAATTCTAATTATCAAGAAGAGAGAGACTTACCATTATTAAACAGTGATTCATTTGAGGGATTTATAAAACATTTGTCCAGTGTAGTTGAACACGTGACGAAAGCACATTTGGAATGTCTGACACTTGACCCTAACTTTTCTGCTCAGGGTTGCATTTCTTTCTTCGCCGTCATCAAAGAACTTTGTCAGACTCTATTAACAGTATTTTTCGGAGCAGTGTTGCCAGATTCAGCTACAAGTAGCTGATTGGGCTACTTTTATAAGTTCTCGCCAACTGAAAATCGAATTTGGGCTACTCATTTTTCGAAAGCTCATATCTTAAAAATGCGCTATTCTTTTCCTTACAAAAATATTTTACTATTAATATTTTTTCACTTCCAATTATAAAATGATTCTGAAAAGTCAGCAGTTTTTTTTTAAACACATCCGCCTTAGTTTTGAATTCTTGTATAATTTTGATGAGTGGAGTCAACAATTTTCTGTATTTCAAATCGTAGACTCGTGAAATGTCAAAGATATATAAAAAAAATGCACGGCGAGTATGATGGAAGAAAAAAAAAATCTTTCACTCCAGCCATTATTAACCAGTCATCTTTTGGAAAAATAAATCACGTAATCTGAGTTAAAACGAAATATTTAACGCAATGCATTGAAATTTTACTTATTTCTTCTTTAATTTAGTGTATATATATATGGGTCATTCTCACAAAAAGGTGATTTTTTAAGTCCCTTAGTAATAAATATTAGGAAATACAGCAGATTTCATAATATTTTTCTTCATTATTTTTCGTAAAGTTTTAACTAACAAATCACATGCATTTCTGCTAAATGTATTTAATATTTCATTCTTATTTTCTAATAAACATAACTTCAAAATCCTCTCCGTGGACGTCCCTACGTCTGTGACACAAAATAATTTTTAATGGCTGTTAAACAATTTAAATGTTATTTTAACGATTTTTGTAGTTTTACTTAGTTAAATGCTTATAGTAACTTTTAATTTAATATTTAAAAAAAAAAAAAAAATTTATAAAATAAATGACTAGTAAACTTTGTCCATCAAAAATGAAATCTCCCTCCGTGGACAATTAATATAGTTCGGTAAATATGCAATAAAGGGCAGCATATGCGAAATCCCTATAAGACAGCTGCTGGGAGGGGTAACCATTCCATTTTCTAATGTTAAATATCAGTTGTTTTTGTTCTCTTTGGTGTCAGTTTTGGATTGTTGTGTTCAACTGGGGTTTGGCAAAGTTCTCACCGTATACTACGTGGACATCATAAAGAAGGTAAGAGAAAATTATTTTATTTTTGATAGATGAATTTTAGATTGCAAAAATAGTATATTTAATAAAAAGAACAGCCTCATTTTTGTAACTTTGAAATTAAAAATCGGAAAAATTCAAGAACTAGTTTTTGTCTCCTCCGTGGACATAACAAGTCCACGGAGGAGAAGACACAGTCAATGGAAGAGACAATGTGTTAGATAATAATAATACAATTTTAATAATTAAAAAATCTATTTTCTTTTAATTGATATTTTTTAAAATGAAACAAATGTGTTAATTTGTTTGTATTTTTAAAGAAAATCAATTAAGTTTAACTTTTTCTTATCGGAGAAGTAAATATTGGCAATTTTTCTAAATAATTTCTGTGATGTTTAACATTTTTTTTCTCTTCAAATTTTAGGAAAAAAATGGCAAAACCAAAATGTAAAAAAAGAAAGCAATCAAATGTTCAAATGCAAAAGAGAAAGGAACAGAAAAAACTTAGTATGAGACAAGCTAGAGAGAAATTAAAATAAAACCCTATATTGTTTGAAGAAAGTAAAAAAAAAAAGAAAAAGAAAAGAGCAAGAAACTTAAAATCTGTATCAGAAAAAGATTTAACAGAAAAATCGTAATTAAATGTACTTAAATTTCTAGAAATTGATAGAGCAAGCCGTTTGTGCCCAGGGAAAAAAGAAACAATAACAAGAAGAAAAGAGAAAAAACAAAAATGTTATTAACTTGCATAAAATGTTCATAAAAGAGTACCCTGAACACTCAACTTTCATGTGGAGTCTGAATTTTTATTTCAATAGTCTTTACATTTTAATTTATTAATATTCAGTAAGAGTTACTTAAAAAATTGTACACCCAAGTTAAAAATGGATGTTTCCTTTCATAGCAGCATGATTAATCAGAAGTAGCTCTGTCTCTAATAATGAAATATTTTATTATTTACTTATTAATGTTAAACTCATATCAGTTGTACCCAATAATTAATGAATTAGTCTTTATTGACATTTTATAATATAAAATGTCTCCTCCGTTGACTATTACATCTCCTCCGTGAACAAGGCAGAATTTAAAATTATTTTAAATCTTGTAAAAATAAAATAGAAAACTTTACCATTATTATAAAGACATATAACAAAAATAAATAAAGGCATTTATGTAATTTTTATAATTACTTTAATTTAAGAAAATTTTTTAGTCTATTTATACCTTTTCAGTGAGAATGACCCATATATATATTTATATATATATATATATCCTATTGGAAAAAATTCGCAAAACCAGTATCAAAAACCAGTAACAATGATACCAGAACCAGTATGACTTTACCAGAAATTTAAAACCTGGTATGAAACAATACTGGAAATTTTAAAACCTGGAATGACACCATACTGGAAATTTTTAAACCAGTATAGCACCATACGAGAAATTTTAAAACCAGTATAGCCCCATACTGGACATTTTAAAACTAGTATGGCGCAGCACTAGAAATTTTAAAACCAGTATGTGTCATACTGGAAATTTTGATACCAGATTTCAAATATACAGGAAAGTGTGAGACCAGTATAAAATCGTACTGGAAATTTTGATACCAGTTTTCAAACATGATGGAAACTTCGAAACCAGTTAGAATCCATGCTAGAAATTTTGAAGTAGTTTTAAAATATACTAACCTTAATTCTTAGAAAGTGCATATTTTTCCGGAAATCTAACAGGTTTCGACATTTTCAAACTAGCTTACTGCTTTAATAATTTATTATTTTATAAATTCTTCGTTTTTTTCCTTGATTATATACTACTTTCCAATAATTAATTTCTTAGACTTTTATAAGAACTCTTAACTAATATATTAAGAGTGGTGAAAACGTACACTTTCTATGCACATTAATTTAAAAAAAAAAATGCATATTTAAAATTATTAAAATCATTTTGGAGCGAAGGAAGTTTTTGAGTTAGATTTTTAAACATTTTAATTATTTTAAAATCTAAGTCATCTGAGTAAAATCTAGTTACTTAAATTAAAGTAATTTTATACTAAAAGTAATTAAACAATAAAACTTGTTTTTATACTTTTCTTCTTTATTTATATTTTTATTTACAAAAATTATTTTAATCAAAGTCATGATGAGAAAAGAATATTATTAATTGCATTACTTTAAATTTTACTATAAGCTGTTTTTAATTTTTATTTATTTCTTATTGAATTTATGCTAAACTAGAACTATGTTGCTCCGAATCGAAACAAATTTATCAATTCGCGAAATAAATTATTTAGTTTAGGTTTCAAACGGCTTGGTAAGAAAAGAAATATGTTTACATAAATTGAAATAAAATCTCAAACTTTTTACCTTAACCAAACTTAAATCTCTCCTTCATAAATTTCAGTCCGTTTTTGAAATTTGTAGTAAATAAATTTAAATCATAAAACAAAATAAACTTTTATGAATGAATGAAATAAATTTGTATTGTAACAATATAATTAATTTAATTCAATTGAAAAGAGCGATTAATGCAGAAACGAAAGGGAATCATGCAAAAGACTAGAATCGACCTTAGCCGTTCGTTAAATCTATATAAAGCTACCCACATTCCGAATTTATCAGTTTTTTCAGATCGTTCCGTTCTTAGTTTGAACTTACAGCCAATCACTTTTCTTCAACTTTGAATTTGAGCTAGGCATGGATGCATCATGGAAAGAATGGCGGTATATTTTAGTAAGTGTATTTTTCTCTTTATTCCTTGCTTTTATTTACATATTTTCTAGTTACAGAAATGTTAAAACGTATTCTTAAGTAGTACTTATAGATTAAGTAATCAAGACATATATTATATTATTCTTGAATTAAAACACTTTGTTCTCATGTTATTTACATAAATTCTCATTATTATCATGTGATCAACGTTATTAACAAATAAATTATTTGTTAAGTTGTATATAATATTTTTAAACTTTGAATTATATTTTAATTGCAAATTAGGTATTTTGTTATTTTTAATGTTTAATTTTATTTTAAAAATTTTAAGCATGTAATTCAAATTACATTTTATTAACTGTTGGTACCCTGAAGTTTCTGTAAAACTAAAATAGCATTTTAAAAATAAAATAGCATTTTAGAAATAGCAGTTGATACTTAAAAGTTTCATATTATCTACTTAATAGCTTGCATATATTTTGTTTACTATTGTATAATTTCTAAATAAATTTTTTCTTTCAGAAATGATTTGGAAAACTTTTTAATTCCTTGTAATTTCCATGGAGGTATGATTTTCTAGTTCTTTTCATTTTCAACATGCACATTATTATTGAAATTGTTTTTTTTAATTTGATGGTTATTTTATCCATTGGCGTCGGCAGATAAAATTTATTGGGGTGGACCATACTTAAAACTGTTATTTTCAAGTTTCTTGAGAAAAATATTACCCTTGCCCTTATTATTTATATATATATATGTTGTAATTTTTGTAAAAAAATTTTTGAGTGCTTTTCACAGTATTGTATTAATATATTTTGCTTTGGCTATATTGATACAATATCAGAATGCACTCTTTTGTGCGGATATAATCGTGTGGGCTGATGAAAAAATTATATCTTTTTTTTTCCGTTTTTTTTTTCTTTTTTCTAAATAAAATTTCAACCTTTTTTTTTTTTTTTTTAAACTGCTGTTTGTTATTTTTTGACTTATTATTTTCCCCCCTGTTTCATATGTCTATAATTTTTCTTTGTTTTATCTTAATTTTGAACTTATATATATATATATATATATACATATNTAGATAGATAGATAGAGAGATAGATATATCTTAATGTATGACAAAAACATGATATCAAACAGAAGAAAATTATATTTCACAATCAAATCAATATCTTTTACTAACATTCAATATATAATTATGAAAACTGAAACATCATGATTCTATGATGCAGAGTGTTCCGTAATCTAAGTCCTCATATGTAATTTTAGAATCATCTTTAAGAATTAAGTTTAAAAAAATATACAAATTAGAAATCTCAAACTACCATTTATAAGCAGGGAAAAACGATAAGAAAGTAGTAAGAATCACTATT